TAGAAAGGTAAGGAAGTTTCAAAGAGGGTTGAAAGCTTCCATTAGGAACAGGGTGGTTCCTCAAATGCTAAAGACTTATGATGAGGTCTTGGCCACGGCTCAAATAATTGAGCAAGATATGGAGGAGCAAAGAATGGAGACTTATGACTCAAAAGGCAAGGGAAAGGCTATCAACACCCAGCCTTTCAATAAGAAGCCTGAACAAAGGGGAAAAAGGAAGATCCCCGAAAGCAACCGACCAAGTTCTGATCTTTGTAAGAGGTGCGGTAAAAACCATGGGGGAAAAGAATGTTATTGGCAGATTGGGGCATGTTTCAAGTGTGGGAAGACTGACCACTTGATCAAGGATTGCCCGGTTCTCAAGGGAGTAAGTCAGCAGCCAAAGGATCAAGATAATAAGAAGCCCAGGGTTCAAGGAAGAGTTTTTGCCATTACAGAACAACAAGCTCAAAACACTCCTACAGTTATAAAAGGTAAAATATCTATCTCTTTTGGGAATGCCCATGTGTTGATTGACTCTGGATCTACCCACTCATTTGTGTCACCTAAGTATGTGCCATTTTTGCATGTGGAGCCTGAAACCCTTGATTGTGTGCTTATGGTGAATACTCCTTCTAAGGAGGTTTTAACATCAAAAACCATTTATAGATCTTGTAGAGTTATGGTAGAGGGTAGAGTTTTGCTTGCCGATCTGATTTTGTTAGGGATAGTGGAATTTGATGTCATACTTGGCATGGATTGGTTGTCTACCCATTATGCCATGGTTGATTGTTATGAGAAAGTGGTTACTTTTTTCGCTCCTAACCAGCCTATGATTCGGTTTGAAGGAGAAAAAGTTGGATCATTTCCATTACTTGTTTCTTGCATGCAAGCTGATAAGATGTTGCAGCATGAGTGTTATGGATATCTGGTATATGTTTTTGAATCTAAAGACAAGCCGGTGTCTGTAGAAGGAATTTGGGTAGTGGAAGACTTTCCTGATGTTTTCCCTAAGGAGTTGCTTGGGTTGCCTCCAAATAGGGAGATTGAGTTTACTATAGACCTTATGCCTGGTACTGCACCAATATCCCAGCAACCTTATAGAATGGCCCCAGCAGAATTAATTGAATTGAAAAAGCAGTTGCAAGAGCTTCTTGATAAGGGTTTCATTAGACTCAGTACTTTTCCCTGGGGTGCTCCGGTTCTTTTTGTGAAAAAGAAAGATGGCTCACTTAGATTGTGCATTGACTATAGACGGTTGAATCAAGTCATCGTCAAGAATAAATATCCTTTGCCAAGGATCGATGATTTGTTTGATCAGTTACGAGGGGCTCGTGTCTTTTCCAAAATTGATCTTAGATCGGGTTATTATCAATTAAAGGTTAAACCCGAGGATGTGATGAAGACTGCTTTTAGGAGCAGATATGGGCACTACGAGTTCCTGGTAATGCCGTTTGGTTTAACCAATGCCCCTGCAGCTTTTATGGATCTTATGAATAGGATCTTTCAGCTGTACTTAGATAAGTTTGTCA